TGACTGTGGGGAGGACATTAGAGTGTGAGCTCCTCTGTACTGAGACTGATATGACTGTGGGGGGGGACATTAGAGTGTAAGCTCCTCTGTACTGAGACTGATGTGACTGTGGGGGGGAGGGGACATTAGAGTGTGAGCTCCTCTGTACACTTTCTCCAGCTCAGCAGGAAGTGAAGAGAATGGGATCTCTGGGTCGGCTCTCCGCACCACCTGGTGGCAGACTTTGTGTATTACAGTCGGGAATATAAATGTCACACGCACAGCCCTCCGTCTTCTCATCAATGACTTCCAGTGAAACATTTCCATATATAATAAAATAAGTTTATTAAGAAAGATCAGAAACACGCTGCAGCCAATCCCGGGGGCGGAGCCATGAAAGCCGGCGTCTGATTGTAAAACAAATACATTTCATGTAGCAAAATGTAACGATGATCCTGTGAAGAGAAGACGCGGTAATCTCGCAGCTTCCTGTACGGAGCAGCTTTGTCATTCCTTCACATCGGGGGCCGCGGACGCAGACGCTGCGCACATCTATGGAGCGCGAGGACGGGCATGACGCGGTCCGAGGGGCAGTTTGTATTGGAAGGGTGGTAAAGGTCCCCGGGGTGGAGAATATGTAACACGGGGGTTATGCCGACAGCCGATCTGTACACAGAGCACTTTGTGCCTGGGGGAGGGGTTACAATGATCGCAGATTTAATACTGGTCATGTGACTGACAGCAGGACCTCCCACATGGCATTTAACGCTTCGCTGTCTGTAGGACAGAAGCGGGCGAGAACCTGCGACAACAGACACGTATAGTATTCGGCTGGGTTCATACCCTGACCCTCGGTCCTCACACCAATAGAGGAAAGGGGGGGACTAGGAGGCGCCGATCACCATAGGCTGTAATAGGAGGTCCCTTAACACCCAGGCAAAAAGCCGAAAAATGCCCCCCCCATGAGCTGTGATCTACCTCAGAGGTATTGGTTGCAGGTTCTGCCCCATTTTGCACCCTCCTCCTGGTGAAGAGCCCAAGGCACCTGCCTCTTCTGCCTTCCATACAAGTGGGTGCTGGGGGGGTAAAGCTGCTGCTGTCAGGCAGATAAGGACTGCTGCTTTGGAGGTGAGGTTGGCGACTCGTTCACATTGCGTTGCACCCACTTGTATGGAAGAACAAAAAGCGCTCCATTGCCGATCAGGACACAAGGACCAGAAGGTGTTTGACGTTCCCGATCTCGCCACCCGCGTTCAAAACAAAACAAAAAAAACTCTTCGAGCCGCCAGACACTCAGACAGAAGGGCGTTGGGGATGACAGAGCCAGGAAGGAGGACGCAGACGCATGTAAACAGCCGGTGACACCGAGGCAACGCAGGATAAAGTCACGGAGGAGTGTTTATAGAGGAAATTATTGCACAAAACTCCCAAGTGTTCCGAGCTCCGCCTCTTCCGGGTTTATGGACAGCTGAGAGTTCATCATTAGTCCGGCCCACTGGCGAGGACACCCCGGCTTCACCAAACCAGGGCGTAGAGTCACCGGTCCTTGTAAGGGCACCCCGGCTTCACCAAACCAGGGCGTTGGGTCACCAGACCTTGTAAGGACCCCCCGGCTTCACCAATCCATGACGTAGAGTCACCAGACCTTGTAAGGACACCCCGGCTTCACCAATCCATGACGTAGAGTCACCAGACCTTGTAAGGACCCCCCGGCTTCACCAATCCATGACGTAGAGTCACCAGACCTTGTAAGGACACCCCGGCTTCACCAATCCATGACGTAGAGTCACCAGACCTTGTAAGGACCCCCCGGCTTCACCAATCCATGACGTAGAGTCACCAGACCTTGTAAGGACCCCCCGGCTTCACCAATCCATGACTAGAGTCACCAGACCTTGTAAGGACCCCCCGGCTTCACCAATCCATGACGTAGAGTCACCAGACCTTGTAAGGACCCCCCGGCTTCACCAATCCATGACGTAGAGTCACCAGACCTTGTAAGGACACCCCGGCTTCACCAATCCATGACGTAGAGTCACCAGACCTTCTAAGGACCCCCCGGCTTCACCAATCCATGACGTAGAGTCACCAGACCTTGTAAGGACCCCCCGGCTTCACCAATCCATGACGTAGAGTCACCAGACCTTGTAAGGACACCCCGGCTTCACCAATCCATGACGTAGAGTCACCAGACCTTGTAAGGACACCCCGGCTTCACCAATCCATGACGTAGAGTCACCAGACCTTGTAAGGACCCCCCGGCTTCACCAATCCATGACTAGAGTCACCAGACCTTGTAAGGACCCCCCGGCTTCACCAATCCATGACGTAGAGTCACCAGACCTTGTAAGGACCCCCCGGCTTCACCAATCCATGACGTAGAGTCACCAGACCTTGTAAGGACACCCCGGCTTCACCAATCCATGACGTAGAGTCACCAGACCTTCTAAGGACCCCCCGGCTTCACCAATCCAGGACGTAGAGTCACCAGACCTTGTAAGGACACCCCGGCTTCACCAATCCAGGGCGTTGGGTCAATGGTCCTTGAAAGGGCTATGATGTTGAGTCACCGGTCCTCATAAACGTACACCAGGTTCACCAATCCAGGGAGTAGACTCATCGGACCTTGTAAGGGCACATAGTCTTCACCAATCTATGACATAAGAGTCATCAGACCTTGTAAGGGTACACCAGCTTCACCAATTTAAGACCTAGAGTCGTCGGTCCCATAAGGTTACACCGACTTCACCAATCCAGGGAGTAGAGTCAATGTGTCTTTGTAAGGACACCCCGGCTTCACCAATCCATGACATAGAGTCATAGGTCCGCATATGGGCGCACCGACTTCACCAATCCATGACATAGAGTCATAGGTCCCCATATGGGTCCTTGTCTTGGTGGGAGTGCAATGGCCTTTATAAAGAGTTGGAGTCGTCTTCCAGGTATCCGGCGTTGGTTGGAGAAACCGAAGTCTGCCGTTGAGGAGTTGCCCCCGCCGGGGTATTAGCACCTTCGCTCCTCATATATTTTTGGCTTCACATTTTTGCTTTTCATGAGTTGTGCAGTTTTTTTTTTTTTTATGTTAAACTTTGAACCTATCACAGTGGTGTTCTCCGGACCCCCGAAGAGGCAGTAACATGTCGGC